AACTTAGTCGAAGCCTCGAATCACATCAAACAATGCTAAAACCACGAATCACACCTCAATTAAAGCCTAATGAACTTTGAACTTTCAAATTCTATATCTTGTGTCGAAATACATCAAATCAATTCGGAATGACTTCAAATTTTGCACAAAAGTCATAAATGACATAATGAAGCTATTTCAATTTCCAGAATCGGATTCCGACCTCGATATCAAAAAGTCAACCCCCCGGTCAAACTTTTCAAAAATTAAACTTTTGACATTTCAAGCCTAATTCCACTACGGACCTCTAAATAATTTTCCGGACACGCTCCTAAGTCCAAAATTATCATACAGAGCTATTGGAATCATCAAAACTCTATTCTGGTGTCGTTTACACATAAGTCACCATCCGCTTAACTATTTCAACTTAAACTTCCAACATAAAATTTATTCTTCCAAGCTAACTCTGAAATACCTTAAAACTAAAACCGACAATTCACACAAGTCATAATACCTCGTAGGAAGTTATTCAAGATTTCAAATAGTTGAAAGGAGCGTAAATGCTCAAAACAACCGATCGGGTCGTTACAGTTAGCTTTGTATAGAAATTTCTATTTCATATTTAATAGTTGTGGGTTAAATTTTGTTATTAATTCAGTAAGTGTTAGGCTTACCTAGTCTTAAAAATTAGGTCTCATCATAACATCCTATAAAGGAAAATTGAGGTCGTGACATTATGTATGTTATTGCAATCTACTTTTACATGACATTTAAAAAAATAATAAAAATTAACCGAACCATACAGATACCGAAGAGAAACTGACATGATTGGAACGATTTCGAAAAGTCTAATTTTGGTTATACATAATAAATTAACCAAAAAATTGTATGGTACAAATTTTATAAAATAACCGGCCGAACCGAACTATTGACACCCCTAAGCTCAATAGCATATTTTGGCAAATTGAAACTCTTTTTGGAAGGACGTAATTCCAAAATAAGCAGGAATTCACTTTTTAAAAAAATATCCTTATAAATACTCCTTCTGGTCCACTTTAATTGATTTTGGGGCCTTTTTTTAGTGATTCACAATATTTGATTTTTTCACATATTAAGAAGGAATTAACTTTTTTTACGAAGTTGCTCTTTGAGTAAAGAACCTAGGAGTATTTGTTATATTTTCAAGGTCCAAATATGCCCTTGTACTATACGAAATTGAGCACATTTGCCCTTCGTTAATACTTTAGCTCAAATATGCCATTACCGTCACATAGTTGGTCCATATATGCCCTTAGAGTTACACAGTTGGCCCATATATGCTCTTTTCGAAACGGAATTCAACCAAACTAATTAGTTCTTTCGTTAATTGTATTAAAGTGTATTACAAATACTATTTTCTTTTTATTAGTACTTTTTTTTCTTTAACTTTCTCTTTTCTTTCTTCTTTTTTCTTTTCTTCTCTTTTTTTTCCTTTTTCTTTCTCCCTTATCTGTTTCCTCTATTACTGATGTCTTCTCCATTTTCGTCACCAATTTCACTTAACAAAACTCATGAATTCTAATTACTAAGAAAATTCTCCCATAAGGTAATCAAGTTCCAATTTCACTGGCCCTCTAAATAAATAAAATTAAATTATTCCAAAAATTATGGTTTAAATTTTTAAAATAATAAAAACATCTCAATCTTTAACAATACTCAAAAGACCAAAATATTTAAATTATTTTCAGAAAGATAATTTAATCATTAAAAGCCTAGAGTTCAAGTTGTAGTGTTATAAATTTGAGTTGTTAGTCTTTTTTCATCTTTTTTCAGCTGGATATTTTCTATTTTTTTATTAACTATGTAAATTAGGGGTGTACATGGAACGGGTTGGTTCGGTTTTTATCAAAATCAAACCAAACCAATTATATCGCTTTGGATTGTTCGGTTTTGTTGGATTTTTCGGGTTTTTTCTTACATAAATATTATTTCAATCTTATTTTGTTAAATTTTTTAGAACTAAATATATGTTCAGTAAAAATTAAAAAATTGACAAACATATGATCTATAAAAATATTCTTATGGGAGAATTTTCTTAGTAATTAGAATTCATGAGTTTTGTCAAGTGAAATTGGTGACGAAAATGGAGAAGACATCAGTAATGGAGGAAATCGGATAAGGGAGAAAGAAAAAGGAAAAAAAAGAGAAGAAAAGAAAAACGAAGAAAGAAAAAAGAAACGTAAAGAAAAAAAAGTACTAATAAAAAGAAAATAGTGTTTGTAATACACTTTAATACAATTAACGAAAGAGCTAATTAGTTTGGGTGGATTCCGTTTCGAAAAGGGCATATATGGGCCAACTGTGTAACTCTAAGGGCATATATGAACCAACTATGTGACGGTACGGGCATATTTGAGCTAAAGTATTAACGAAGGCCAAATGTACTCAATTTCGTATAGTACAAGGGCATATTTGGACCTTTTTCGTATTTTCAATGAATAAATTAAGGTTCATATGGTAAATTTTATTGTTAATTAATGCTAAAAGGTAAATTTCTTAATATGTATGAAAACTAAAAAATTAATTAAAATTGACCGAAGAGAGTACTATTTATTCATTTATTAAAATAGCCCTTTATAGATAAAAAGGGAAATTAACCATTAGAACGTTGTGCTCTTCTCCTTCCTCTCTTGAGTATCCTTCCAAATCTTTTTTTTCGCATATCACCAACTTTAATTTCAAACAAAAGATAAAGTATTTTAATAAAATATAATTTGAAGCGTAATTAGAATGGGGTGAAATTATTTTTCTACTTCAACATATTCTTAAAAATCAAACTCCTCTTCCAACTTTGGATAATGGATGTTGACCTCCTCTTATCATATGCAACCCCTGAACATTTCCAGTTCCCCTCTATGTTATAATGTTTTCTAATATTATAAGATATATTATATTTACCTAATTAGACAAAAGTGGGTTACTCTAGTGGTGAGCACCTTCCACTTCCAACCAAGAGGTTGCGAGTTCGAGTCACCCCAAGAGTAAGGTGGGGAGTTCTTGAAGGGAAAGAGTCGAGTTTCTATCGAAAACAGCCTCTCTACCCTAAGGTAGGGGTAAGGTCTGCGTACATACTACCCTCCCCAGACCTCACTAGTGAGATTATACTGGGTTGTTATTGTTGTATCTTTACCTAAGTATTTTACCTTAGGTAAAACGTTCTTTTTCAGAAATACAATGTAAGACTGCCAGAGGCGGAGCTAGGATTTGAAATGTATGGGTTCTAAATTATAAATACAAAAAAGTCATTGGGTTTTCTTCTACTGTACCAGCAGCTCTATTGTAGCTCCGCCCCTAGCTACATATGAAAGTTTTCTTCTTAATAAGGGCATAAGACCACTCCATGTGAATGCAAGTTAGTCTCACTAAGAAACTAAAAACAAGAAAGTAGGACAACAACCACATACCTTGTCTGTAGACAAACTCCAAGTTTGAACTTTTGGAAAGAACCAAAGCACAAATTGACAAAGAGATTGAAGTTCAAAATGTGGGACAACCCTATAATCGAAGATTAAAAATTAGATTTCGTATAAATTGTCAAAATATAAAATATAAGAGGAAAACATGAAGAAAACAAATCAGGAAAGAAAAATTGAAGAAGGAAAAATGGTCTAACTTCTAAGGGAGAAAGAGCATAAACTGCGAGAGTTGGAAGGTGTCCGGCTCCGGCAAATTGTGGTAGCAGCGCCGACAATCAATAGAGGCAGAACCCTAGCTTTTTTGATTTGGGAGTTGAGAAGATTAGAAGAAACAGCCTTATGATTTATTTATTAAAAAGAATAAATGGACTAGTTTAAAGGAAGGCAAAGTGCCGTTTGGACTTTGAAGTTGTTTGGGGATTACGACGTCGTTTAATTTTTGCTTTCTTAAAAAGAAAAATTGTATAAAACAAGAAAATAACTCATTGCTTTCAACGGGATTCGAACCTACGTGTTCTCCAAGCGAACCCAGAATTCTTACCGTTAAACCCAGACCCCTTTTGTTACTGGGTTCGGCATGAAATAGTTATATATAAACAATAAATTTTTCAATACAAATACAAGGTCTCGGATAAAGTCACTAGGTTCGCTCGAACCCGCACCCTCTACCGTAGCTCAACCCCTGAAAATTGCGTACAATAGATCATTGTGGTCCGATTCTTCCTTGAATCCCGACCGTACGTGAGATTTTCACCTCATACGGCTCCTCCTTTATATGCATAATGAGAATAATACATAGAATCAAAAAAGATTCAACGATCAAAATATTCTCATTATGAATTCAGCAGGGCTAGTGTTTTTACAAGAATTTTACCTATAACTTAAATTATGTTATATATTATTATAAATTTTATAATTTAAGTTCAGTAACATTATAACTAGAATAAGTCTTGTATAAATTTATTACTACAATTTGTCATTACTTTTAATGATTATTGTTCTAATATTAGGTGCATTAAGTTTATATTTAAGTTTTATTTTATCTTTTATTCTCTATTATGTGTATATATATTTTTATTTTTTTGTAATTAATAAAACATGTTCTGAAAAAAGAGACAAAGGTTGATAAGGTTGAGAGTAAACATTTGAAAAATTCAATTGAGGTAGAAGAAGAAGAATGTCCATCTTCAAAGTTAGAGGAGGAGTTTAATTTTTAAGGTAAAGTTGAAAAATCTAAGTGCTATTCAACCAAAGTAAAATCTCTAATAATAAATAATTGATTTATCAAATTACTATAACTGCAAAATACTTTCTTAAAAACCTCTTTCCACAAATCACTCTTTCAAAGTAAAGTAAATTTTAAAAAAATTGGCCGGAATGGCTCTTCTCTACATCTCAATTGCTTTTACCGCTAAAGGAAGCGGACACGTAGAATTCCAAACCGCATGCAACCTAACACGTATACATTTTAATCCATCACCACCTCATTACGTGGGAATTATTCAAACTTCCTTATAATAAAAAGAACCATTCATCCTATTTCCTTGCTACTAACTTCCATTCCTTATCCAACACTTTTGTCTTCGTATCCGGATTAAAAAAAGAGAGGAGAAAAAGAAATGATGAATTTTTTGGCTATTTCTCTGGTATTAACCACACTTGTTACTGCAGGATTTTTCAATCCGAATCCAGAGAATAATAAGAAAAAAGAAGATGTTATTTTAAAAGAAGGCCCTAGAGTTGTAGTAGTTGAATTTGATAAAGAAGATGGTACCAAAATCTTAATCTCCCCACAACAAGAAGCTGAAATTCCAAAAGGAAAATCAGGGTATGTTTCTGATCTCAAAGACAAGTTACATGAAAAAGCCGAGGAAGCATCTTCTGTTCTTCCAAATATTGGTCAAGGAATTTCAAGTCCCTATGTAAATCAAGAAAATGGTGAAATTGTTACTAAGCCTAGTGCTAAAGATGTAGTTTGTGATGCATTTGGCAAGTGCAAAGAAAAATTTGCTAGTGCTTTGGGTAAAACCAAAGATAAGGTTTCAGAAAAAGCACATGAAACGGCTGATAAAGTTGATGAAGTTAAAGAAGGGGCAAAAGGGGCTGCTGAGAAAGTGAAAGAAAGTATTAAAGATGCATATAGTGAAGCCTCAGATAAGGTGAAGGAAAAAGCAAAGGATGTGATTGACACAACAAAGAGAAAAAAGGGTGAAGTGGAGAGTGAAATCTCTGAGAAGGCGAAAGAATTAAAGGAGAAATCTGAACAAGTGAAAGATTCAGTAAAAGAAGGTGCAAAGAAGGTTAAAGAAGAAGGGAAAAAGGAGTTGAAGGATATACTCGGGCGAGGACGTGAATTCTTTTATGATGTATTTGCTTATATTTTCTCGCTAGAGAATTTGCGCACTGTGATGCTTTTGGTGCATTTTCTAGGCTTTGCTGTGGCTTATGGGATGTGTATTTGGGTGACGTTTGTTTCGAGTTATGTGTTGGCTAGAGCTTTGCCGAGGCAGCAATTTGCTTTGGTTCAGAGTAAGATTTACCTTGTCTACTTCAAGGCCATGGCTTATTGCGTTGGCGCTGCATTCCTCGGCCATTTGTTGAGCCAAAAACGTCGACTTTACGCGAGTTCCGCTGAAGCGGTTCAAGGTTTTAATCTTCTGGCGTCAATCGCTATGCTTTTGGTCAATTTGCTCTACTTAGAGCCTCGAGCCACAAAGGTAAAGCACTATTTAATTTGTACTCCACTGTTTTATTTTATATACGATGGTGTTCAACTCGACACAATATATAGGGAGAGAGAACTTTTGACACATACCAAAATACCATTATCAGAACTCCTGGGCCGTGGCCTTAAATTAACATGTCATCACTATTTAATTTGTACTCCACTGTTTTTCTCTGTTTTATTTTGTATATGATGGTGTTAAACTTGAAGAGGGAAAGAGAGGACCTTTGACACGTAACAATTTAATTATCATTACAACTTGTACACACAAATTAACATGCCATGATATTTTCTAAGCAAGAGCTTGTATTTCCATCCCACTTTATTCTCACAGTGTTGTGTCCCGAAGGTGTAGCCTCGGAGAGGTAATATGTACACACAAATTTTACCTACGTTGTGGACGTTCGTAGGAGACTGAGGCTCTTTCTGAAAGACCTGGGCTCAAGAAAAACAATTCCTAGGATTTTAGTCTCTATAGTTGAATTTTTCTTTATAATGCAGAGACGGTGTCATTTTTTTTGGGAGCATGTTAAAAAGGAAAGGGTGTGGGATCATTCTTTTTAACGCACAAAATCTTGTTTTTGCATTTGTGATTTTGCAGGTTATGTTTGAGAGATTGAAGTTGGAGAAGGAAGAAGGTAGAGGTAGAGATATATTTAACGTTGAACCAAGCAGTAGAGGAGTGGATTCGGTGTTGGATCCTACATGCACAAAGATAACTAGTCAGACGACAACAACAACTAGTAAACCTGCAGAAAAATCTCCAGAAGTAGAAGCAGTGGTGAAGCCTCAAGTGGTCAGATTGAGTCAGAAACTAAAGAAGTTGAATTCATATTCATCTTTTCTTAATGTGCTGACACTTATGGCTCTTAGTCATCATCTTGTTCACCTTACTCAGTTAGTCGATGCCTGAAGCTTTTGATGCTTCATTCTCCTCTAGTATTAGTATTATAATACATGCTACTAATCAGATGTTGACACTGTTTACTTTGTTACTATTTTGGTGGAGATTGCTACTAGTACTTTTTTTCCTTCTGACTTTTGTCTAGGTATTGTCTTTTGTCTGTTTGTTGTACACAGCAAACGTTGAATAGGAACTGAAACTAACTACCTCCTTGTTTACTCTTTCATTTTTTGTTAGTCCTTATAATGGCACAGTTCAATTCTATATCAGAAACTCTTTTTTACCACATAGCCACCAACATTTAAATTGTTTTTATGTTCTCATGCCATATCCCATATACTCGTCGTATAGTTTGTCTTAATTTTAAGTTATAAATTTCATTAATTAATTATTTTGGGGATTATATTGAACTTCTGCACCGTTAATTTAGTGTATAATTAAACTCATCTAAAAATCCTATTATTTTTAAAATTTTAATAGGGATGCCAAATTACTCACCATCGTACACTCGCCCTCAAGTACGAGTTTTACTTTTGCACTCGGTATTTTTCCAATAGTGGTCCGTTGACTGTTACACGTCTGACCAACTAGTACTTCAGTAATTTTTTAGCCAAAAGCAAACCGTTTGATGGCTAAAAAATCTTGAGAAATTATTTTTAACAACCGTCCTTAACCCTCTCAATCAGGGTGTACAAATGAAAATGAAACAGATAAATGAAACAAATCCGATAATTCGAGTCAAATCAAGAAAAAAAGTCCGATTATGGTTTGGTTTGATTTGGTTTGGTGTTGGAAAACAAATCCGACCATATTTGGTTTGGTTTTAACTAAAAAAGGCAAATCGAAATCAAACCAACCCGACATTATATCTATGGAAGTTTTAAATATATTTAATACATAAAAATATTTATTGTAGTGTAGTTTATAAATATTTCTTAAGTTTTTTCATAGTTTTACTTTTAACGTATTATTTCAAACTTTGGCTTATAATTTTTGGATGCTCCAATAAGTTTTATAGTCCATAAATATTAGTAAATCAAATAAATTCTAAACCAAAATCAAATCAATACTAATGCTAATAAAACATTCAATTCAATTGTATTATGAATGAAAATAGTATTGGATATCTATTTTTTTAGTTTTTCCATGGTTTAAATAAAATGTATAGCTTATTTTTCTTTTAGTGGTTAGTCATGTAAATAATAGTACTTATTAGTCGTAATTTTAAATTATGTTTGTTTTCATTATGGCTTATTAATAATATTTATTTTATGCAATTTTATTATCTTTATTGTTGAATATTTTAGGACAATGCCATGTCGCATCTCATATTTATGTTATTTTATTGAAAAACGTCTTATATAGTTCTGTCTTACTAGGATTAAAGAAATATTTGGAGCACAAATTTTACATTTTGTGCTATGAAGAAAAAATCAAAAAAATCCGAAATATCCGAGAAAAATCGAGATTAAAAAACCCGACTTTTATTGGTTTGGTTTGGTATTTAGATTTAATAATCCGAAATAATTGGTTTGATTTGGTAATTAGAAAATCCGAACCAACCCGACTTATGTACACCCCTACTCACTATTTCTGCTTTCCCTGCCCAAACACTTTGTGCCCAACATTTTATGCTTATGTGAAGAAAATAATTCTTATGTTTTTTTTTTTTAGTTAGTTGTTAGTCTTAGCTTACCTTAGTGGTTTGGGATGACTTATAATATCCTTGAAAGTATTCGTGTTCTTGCTCCTTGAGGTGAGAAACTAGAAGAAAATTCATATTTGGATGTACTTAACTACTTATAGCTTCAAGGCATTTGGGAAATGCGCTATAGAGCCCAAATTAGCAAGACGGTAAAGTTTATTTTGGGCTCGATTTACAACTTTATTTTCCAAATTAGCAAGTCGATCATAAAATTTTGTAGAGAACACTAAATGACGATGTTGATACAACTTTCGTTAGATTTTATATTATATGCTTTTGGAATCCGCATAATCTAATGACGTGATGCGAGTTTAAATGATTTCTCTACTCATAAATGAATAGCTTGGTTACACTTATACTTGCTAGACATGTCTTAATAGACTTCTAACATGGTCAATCTACTCTCAATCATTTTATCACCCAACATATATANGTCAACTTAGGTCTGGAGTAATACAATTGTGAAAAGTTATATAAAAAGAGAATTAGTAAGTTTAACCGTTCAATCTGCAAATTTGCGTTGCAAGGAGAGAGGAGAAGTTAGAGTGCTCAAAGTGATTGAAGAAATTTAGTAGCATAGTGAAAGCAATTTTTGCAAATTCGGCTAAGATTATGATTAGAATGATAGAAGAAACTTATAATGTTCCTTTAAATTTAGAGTTAATACCCTAAAAACCCCTTAAACTATCATATTTTTATCAGGTTCCTACTTAAACTATTCGGTATCCCCAAAACCCCCCTCAACTATATTGTCTTTCATATTAAAACCCCCCTTGTTGCTGACCTGGCATAACGTGTGTAAGCACTCGCTTGAGAGCGCGTGACAACTGAAAAAAGCCATCAAAATGGCTCATATGACAGAAAATAATGGCTAATTAGCCTAACCCTCTTTCACATTTGTTTTTTAATAAATATTCTCATTATTTCAATTATATCCACCTTTATTCCTATTTTTTCACCATTCTTCCTTATTTTTTTACATTTCTTCTTTATTTTTCACCTTCTTCTTCATTTTTAACCTTTTTTCTTAGTTATCCATATAGATTTCATCTGGAAAAATTTCTACGAGACTTGTTTCCTTTGAAATGATTTATTCCCTTTCTTGTTTTAATCTTCTTTCATGTCTTACACATATTATTGAAAGAATACCAATTTAAGTCTTCTTATTAAACTCAACACCTTGTAGAGAATAAAGTTGAATATCTTGAACCTTCTTTATGTAATCTGGAATTAGAGAATGTAATTGTTGGCCAATTAATTTTTTATTTGCGAAATTTTATTCTGTGTAATCCTTTTTATGTAATATAAGATGATTTTTAAAAAATGCAACACTATATACCTTTATTTATATTTTTACTATGCTACAAAATGAATATAAATAAGAACTTATTAAATTGGAGTTAGCATAAAGCACAAACACAATTAAATCTAAAATTAACACAGTACATTAAATATTATTTTGACCAAAACTCCTAAAATTAATCATTTATTCGAGAGTAATACATCATGAGTAAACTATAGATAAAACTTTTTACAAACCATAAGTTAATATTGTTAGACATATGCATCTTTAAAAGCTCAACATGGGGTTTTAATATATATGGAGAATATAGTTCAGAGGGGTTTTAGGGATACCAAATAGTTTAAGTAGATAACTGACAAAAATAAAATAGTTTAGGCGGGTTTTAGGCTGAGTTAAATAGCCATGTATAGTGCTACGTGATACGTTTTTTAAATAATTAGGATCGTGTACTGCACGCACCTCTAAGAATGCAATGAAGAGTTTTTAATATGAAGGGCAATATAGTTCGGAGGTTTGGGAACACCAAATAGTTTAAGTAAAAAATTGACAAAAATATGACATTTTAGGGAATTTTAGGGTATTAACTCTTAAATTTAGTGTCAATGAATTTAAGTCCTTCGATATTATTGTAATGAGTTGTAATGATCTGAAACAATGATTATGAAAAAAATAACTTCTAGAGAATCCAATCAGGAAAAATCATTTTTTATTGGCCACACTTCACTCCTTTCATTCTTATGATACTCAACTCAGGTAAAATTAAGTGATTTTTTTTGTTACAAAAATAGTTTAGTCATTTTATAATACTTTGATTGTTATGAATATGTTAAAGTGGATGTCCATTGAATACTCTTAGACATCCCTATTCCATGAATCATTTGAGTTCATGTACTTAGTTAATTCATCACTTAATATTTGTAACCTTTAGGTATATTTTTGTAACTTTTCATGTATCTTATATCCTATAAATAGGGTATTTTTTATCCTATGAAGTACATAGAAGAAACACACTTGAATAAAATAACTTCTACATTCTCATCATATACATCTTGTCTCCGTTAGTATATTGTTCTATTTTGCTCTCATTTCTTAATACGTTTTCAGCACGAGGTTCTAACCAACTGAGGTTATCTGCTTCATCCGAATTTTATCTTCTTTCTAAAAGAGGTAGTCAGTTTCTTTTCCGATTCAGGTATACATTCCTATGTTTATAATGTTTCTATTAGGATCTTTCTTTAACCTGCAATTTAATTACTATATGCATAACTTGTTTTGAATATGATTATAATAATTGCATTGGTATGAAAACAATAAGTTTCGGTTAAATTGATATTTCATTATATAAACTACGAAGAATTTTAATCCTACACATAAATAAATAAGTATTAAAATTGAATTACAATAATTAGACTAATTAAGCTCGTATCCAAATATTCTAACAGAATATGCATTTAGAAGGAATTCTTGCAAAAATTTTAAAAGGTTTAAATATGTCTCCAATAAATTTATCACCTAAGTGTACAAACTAATTAATGACTTTAAAATTAATGACTGAACTAATAGATGAATCGTATTGAATGTTGAAACTAGTCAGAATTGATATCATCTAGTTTTATGCCTACTTAGCTTATTGAAACGTATTCTAAGTAGAACAAAATTATACTAGTACATATTAATTCAACTTATTTATTCTATGAAAATATACTTACATGTCTAAAGTTTTTGTGGTTAATATTAAACACTAATTTATCATCGCACTGCACATAATTATTTGTTTGGTAATTTTACATATAGAATATTAATACACGATTATGTACTGCACTGAATTGATAATAATTCTTGTCATTCTAATTCACTTATTTCTATGATAGTTTTCACTATGTCGAATTTGTCAAAACTTGAATTTATGGCACTTGACATCTCTAGGAATAACTATTTGCCATGGGTACTTGATGCTGAAATTCACCTTGACGCTAAAGGTCTTGGTGACTCTATTAAAGAAGAAAATGAAGCATCAAGTCAGGATAAGGCGAAAGCCATGATTTTTCTTTGCCATCATCTCGATGAAGGATTAAAAAGTGAATATTTAACCTTGAAACATCCATTTCAATTATGGACTAGTTTGAAGGAATGGTATGACCATTTAAAGGCCACGGTATTGCCAAGAGCTCGTCGTGAGTGGATGCACTTACGACTACAAGATTATAAGACCATAAGT